CATCGAGCTAGAAAATGCACACAGTTAAGAGACCCAGTGGAGTCAAAAACTTGGTAAAAATGAAACAGGAGCGCGAAATATCCTCAATAAACCCAAATCTTATATCGTTGCAAGTTGCAGAAAACTGAAAGGCACTGTCTTTGACATACTCTCTAGTATAAAAGCAATTTTATTTGACCTGCAAAGAGTCAACATACCCCGAAAATGGCTAAGAACTGCCTAAAAATTCTTGGAACTTTACTGGCTGTCTTCAATACTGTCAATTTTTGGTGAGTATCAAGGCTACCGCAATAGCCGAGCGGCTTGCATCACGACTGCCATTCGGAAGGCCAGGGTTCGAGTCCTTGCTAAACCAAAATTTAAATTTACATTTCCTTATAACGTTAGCTCCTCGGCAGAGAATGTCATGCCCTCCAAGTGTATTTTTGACATGAAAATCAAAGCTCCTCATAAAAATCCATAAGTCGTTCCGAGGCGGCTTGCTAGAAAAACATTAAGACGAAAACGCAAAACCACAAATTGAAGGAGAAGGAGCTCGGCAGAAAATCCCTTCAGCACTTAAAAAGCATGAACTCTTCAACGGAAAGAAAAAGTCGATCTCTAAGGAATAATTGGAACAGGTATGTAAGTAGTCATCGCTGTGGAAGTCAAGTTAGGCTCATTTTGATATGAAGATATTGAGTAATTCATAAAATTTTGCTCTCTATTCACTGGCACCACAATATGCAGGAAGTCCCAAATTGATGGAGAAGTGTTGGCAAGTGAACCGGCATTTCGGTAGAAGTTAAACCTAATGAAAACGATTCTTCCTGCCATCGAATAGAATTCCAATTCTTAACGACTGATTTTGGAAATTTTTCTTTAAAAGTTTCGTTTGAAAAAAATGAAGAGGTGAGATTTAGTATCGAATCTCAAAAGAGAGTATATTGTCATAAAAATCAATGGGTTTAAGGTACCCCAGCTTGAGGAATACCTGTTATTAGAAATCTTCTTAAAAAACCACCCAATAACCTTTTTTTAGATATATTTCAGATGACTTCTCCTCCCTCAATAAATCTCAAATTTCGAACATTTTTTTTTTGTAGAACTGCAATTATTGCGCAATCATTTCTACGCCATATTTGTTTGTAAAATATTATATGTAAACAAATATATGTAGACCTAACCTTACAGTTTTCGATTCTCCACGTAAATTTACGCTTTTTAGCGCTCATTAAAACTTTGGGTGACAGACATTAATTATTTCCACACGCATTTAGTGAATATAAATTAATAAGCTTAGCGCATTTGGCACAACAAAATTATATATAAGTACAACTACAAAAACATGTGTATATAAGTGTGTTTAAGTGTATGCTTCCTTCCTCTAAAATCAAAGTGAATATTACCGAATACTTAGCGCTTGAAAGCAACGCCACTGTGCAACTGGGCGGTGGTGGTGAGTTCGGCGAATAAATGCCATCATTCATTTTGCGTCAACGTCAAACAGCAGTGCATACAAATACAAACAAACAAAAAACACATGTAAACCCACACGATTGCACAATCAAGTGTGTAGGGAAATACATATATGTTTATTTAATCAAATGCCATAAAGGGGTAAGGCCACTCTAGAGGCTGAAAAATAGACTCATTTTAAAAAATTTATTTATAAGAACATGGGAAAAGGATTAGAATTTCTATTTAACCATTTCATTGAATATATATTGAAGTAAAAAAAAATATTGTTTAATTATTCTTTTGTTACAAAATGGCGCTGATAAAGTCCTTTATTGAATACATGTTTTTTTCAGAGGCGTCCGTGGGTGGACCGATTTCTTCCAAATGATGTAACCTCGAGCAGAAAAGCAAAAAGTTTTATGATTTACAAACTATGGTTTTTGGAACAAAACACTGACTTATTTTTTAACTTATTTTTGTTTTTGAAAGCGACACACTTTTTTTTAAAAAAAATTTAAATTTTGACTAAAAAAATATGCACGAAATTATTAAATAAAAAATATAAAAAGTTTACATTTAATGCCAAAAATTTCAGATAAATCGATGCAATATGCTCCGAATTATCTGTCCTCCCAATTTGAAAAATGTGATTTTGAGAAAAACGCGTTTGAAGTTTTCCTTGTACGCAGCGCACGCTCTGAAGAGCTGCAGTATAATATTAATTAAAATTATTTTTTTTTTTTCAATTTAAAACCATTTGCATATCGTTTCGTGTAAATACGTACATACATATGTATGTATGTAATTATGAAATGCAAATAATTAATAAGATTTATGACATTTGATATGTTCTAAGAACAAACTCGCATTTGTGAATATACAAATATACACAAATAAAAGCAAATGTTTGCTTATACGTATATGTACTCGTATATATACATACAATATAAATTTTAATTATTTTATTTTTATTTTTTGCTTGGGCATTTCATATGGGAATTCAACAAATACTTCTCACTTTCGTTGGTTGAGAAATTACAAGTTATCAAAAATATTTATCAACGAGTTATAAATATATTATTTACATATATATGTACATTATTTTGTATGTACAATACATTAATTTCTATGCCATCATAATTTTATTAATTTTTATAAATTTAACGAATTGTCACTTTCACTTTGATTATTTTGATTCCAATTCATTTCATCTCGCTTAAATACATATTAAGCTGAACGTATACGTGCACACATAATACGTATACACGTATGTGTATGAGTACACTAATCCAATTAAAATCATATTAATTTGTAGAAATTTAATATTTCTATTTAAACCAAATAATAATTTATAATATTAAATTATTGATATATATAATATTTTACCTAATATTAGTTAAGCTTTAAATTTATGATATTTAAATTTTTAATTTAATGTATATATTTTTTTCGTGAAAAAGTTATATTTATTTTATTAGTTTTAAAATTTTATAGGAAATTTTTGGAATTAAAATTTTCCATGCTTATGGAAAAATTTTAATTCTAAAAAGTTTCTAAAAAATTTTATATATTTATATATTATATAAAACAGTGCGACAAAATCAATTTTTTTTTTCAATACACATGAGAGTAAATATTAATTAATTATTATGTGAAAATAGGCTTAAAATAAATAAAAATATATAATATATGAAAATTTTGGTTCAGTAATTATTTGTAAGACGTTTTCAGTAATTTTGAAGGATTATTCCGCTATTAATCTTCCCAATATGCACATATGCACATATATATGTAACAAAATAATTTGAAAAATGTAAAATATGTCTCATTATTAATTAAATTCTAAGTAATAAAATCATAATTAAGTCGCAACTAAATAAGTTTCAACGTAAATTTCGTTTAACGCCTTTATTCACTAAAACTCTATTGGCTTAATACTAAGTTTTATTAAACATTGTTTGCCTAAATAATTAAATAAAAATGTAATATAATAAAAACTTTATTTCATTTTACTTAAGTTTACTTTATTGGGATTTGTTATTTATTATTTACTGTTATTATTTACAATAAGATATTTTAATTTTTCAGCTTAATTTAAATTTTTTCTAATGGTTTTTGTTTGGTGTTTAATTTTCTAATTTTATGTATATTTATTTTATTTTGTTTTGTTTTATTTTGTTTTATTTTATATAAGATATCTTTAGGTTTTTTTATTTAATTTAAGCCAATAATTTATATTAAGCGATCATTTATCAAAAAGTGGAATAAATTTGTTTTATTTGCATTAACCAATCCAGATCAGCTAAGCCTAATTAATTAATCAAATTTATAAAATGGAATTAGGTTTTATTTTTTTTTTTTCCTTTGTTTTTATTTTATTTTATTTTATTTTTTTTGTATTTCATTTTATTTTATTTAATTTAATTTTATTTTATTTTATTTTATTTTATTTTATTTTATTTTATTTTATTTTATTTTATTTTATTTTATTTTATTTTATTTTATTTTATTTTATTTTATTTTATTTAGTTTTCTTTTATTTAATTTTATTTTAATTTATATTGTGTTTTTTTTCTTTATTTTAATTTATTTTTTTATTTTATTATTCTACCTATCATTTATATGTTTCTAAAACAACTGTCCATGAGTTAGTCATTTTGAAACTTTATCTGCTTGTAATTCATCTCCAATTTCCAATCTCTCAGCTAATAACAGTATTTTACTAAATTTCAAATATCAATATTTCAGTCTTTTAATAGCCAACACGCTGTTTTAAGTATTTTATTGCAACATCCAATTTAATTGCATTTATGAAAGTAATGAGACCTACCGACGCATTAACACAATTACATAAGACGTAGTGAAGTCGAATAGCAATCGAAAAAGGTTGTGCAGGTTATTAAGTAGTTCTAGAAAGTATTAGATTTGTGAAAAAAATCACTTGACATACTTTAGAAAATCGTGATTACACGTTTTTAGGCTTAAACAATCAGCAAGGGAATTACTGAGGATTATAATCATATGTGAAAAGTGTTAAATAATTCAAAGCCTGTCAGCTGGGTTTGAATGAAAAATGCTTTAAATCGAAGCGGAGACTTTGTAAGTGAGCGAGTACTTAAGTATGGCAATTTGAAAATGCATGAAGTAATTAATTTGTTTTATGGTATTTTTTATTTTTACAATAATACACTTGCTCGCCTTATTATTTATTGACTTGTTTGCACATCTGATTGCATTGCGAATAGAAAAGTAAAAACAAAATCAGTGGACTTCCGCGTGAAATGAGATTTAGCAAAACAAATAATTCAATTCGAAACTCAGTAATTACAATATTAACTTAATTTATTTCATTTGATTTTATTTAATTTTATTATGTGCTCACCACATTTATTGCATTTCCTTTTTTTCTATTTTTTTTAATCTTCTTTTTGTATTTTTATCTATATATTTTATAATTATTCGATCTTGTATTTTAATTTTTCCACAATTTCCATTTATAACAATTTCAAGTTAAATCAAAGTTCATTTTAGTGACTTATAAATTGGTTTTCGTTCAACAGCGCACAGTCAGTTCGGTTCGGGCAGCGCTCGTGTGTAGACTTTGATAACTAACAGTATTAAGTGAATTTGTGTATTATCGTGTGATAAATAAAAAAATGATTTTTGAACCCGTTTCCGTTTCTAAATGCAATTTCGCGTTCGCAGTTTTCGTGTTAGCGCTGACTTTGAAGGCGCACGTTGCGGCAGTCGATTTTCGTAAGTAATGGTTTTCAGTGAGAATTTTGTGAAAAAAGTTTGGAAAAGATAAATTCAAATGTGATTACTGAGGAAAAAGTATACTCAGTCTTCGAAAAAATTAGAAAAAATAGATAAACAATAAAGCTCCAGCTACGGATTTCCATATTCAGGACTTACTCCTGCTCAGTCTCGAATGTTATGTAATCACAAACGGCTTGGCAAGATTTCATCATCATACAAGGGATATGAATTTTAGGAGATAAATTTAGCTTTGAATAAATGTAAATGGTATTTAAGGATTCCTCGAAGATCGAGAGTTAAAAAAATCTTTCTTCTGCTGGTTGCTCAAGAAAGGTAGTTGAGGTTTCCGCATGTAATAGGAGATACATGGACCTCCACAGCTCTACCACAACTTACGCAGTAACGGATTCTAGATAACTGAGTTCAGATTTCCGACAATCCACCCCCAGTTAGGTCGGTGTGTGGAAGTACAATGCATAAGCGAGCTCCATAAAATATATTTGTATACCTTCAGAGAGGGTATTGTAACCAAAAATCTTCGCAAACCGGTTGTTTCTTTTTGAATTTTACCGAATTTCTATATTTTGCTAGAGTTAAGGAGATGCAGAGGAAAATTGTTGCTGTTAGTGCTTTGTTTTGTAGCTCAGTCTTCCAGACTATATCATTGTTTTTCATTCGGGGATTGTTTCTGTCAAGAGGGCAGTATTTCGGGGGTAGATTTTTGTGAGAGAGTTCAAAATTTACAGCTGTTACGCTCCCTAAAGTTGTGATTGTCATCGCTATCCATGGAGCAGAACTAAATTGACCGTTTGGAAGCAGCTTAGAATAAACCATAGGTCATTATTTTCAAAAAATATCAGCAGATTAGTAGACAAATTAGAAGAGGAGCTCGGCCGAAAATCGTGTCACTGGTTACCAAGCGCCGATTATGCATATATATCAATGCTGTAGTCCTTGTGACTTTTGCGGATCTCCACTGGCGTAGTTGTCTGAAAGGAAAGAATCCAAGGATTTGATATCATTCCAGTGTATAAGGCTATGTGGGCTCCTTTTGGAACAAGCTCCTTCTAACAAACCTTAACATATCTGAACCTGCACCACGCGACTCTTAAGCCTATGCTTGAGCCTTTAAAATATCTGTCGAAATTGCATAGATTCCGCGTGAAGAGAAAAAATAACCAGTGTAGCTTTAGTCCTCTGTCGAATTGTCACAGCTCACATTGCACATTTGATCAAGCTCCATATGTCCTTCAGGATACATAGATTGGTATTATTCTTACTTCCATACTGTACTAGTGACTCTAAGTTAGCTATGGCAGGAAAAAGAGTTACCTGTATCGCTAGGACAGCCGACATTCTCTAAATATCTAGTAACACATAGCATAAAGAGATTCAATTCCAAAACCATGAAGCCTTTTAGCCATCTATATCCTAAATATAAGGACCGCAAAGCCTCGCGTATTGAAGGCATTTCACAGAGTCTCCTCTTACCAAAATCAGAAAGCAGTCTTCCGCTTTACTACCTTCCCGCTCCAACAGAGTACGAGCAGATCTGCCCTTAACCAGAGATCTCAGAGAGCATCCGAAGTTTTTGCATAGAGAGAGTATTACCATCCTCGGGTGTTACGTTACAAAGCAAGGAAAATATAACTTGCTTAATGTATTTTCAAAGACGTGATTCCAGATGAGTTAATTAGCCTATACACATATTTTTACTGAAAACTTGGTCTAAAGTATTTTTTCCACTTTTTACTCTTATTTCTCTATACCTAAATTCTCTTCCCCAGCCGAACCCATTACGAAATGTCATTTCGGCGATGAGAAATGTTTACTGGAACAGGCGCACAAGCTGTTAAAAAAAGCCTCCACAGGTGTGCCTGAAAAAGGCATACCATCGTTAGAGCCACTGAAGCTGGACAAGATCGAAATGGTAGGCGATAATAACAAAGCGCTCAAGGTGAATTTGGTGATGACCGATGTAGAGTTTCATAACTACACCAAAGCGACCGTAACAGCAATCAAGTGAGTGGCATGCTTAGCAGATATACATATATATATATATATATTGTTAAATCGATTTTCTTCTTCTTCGCCACAGGGGCTTCAGCAAAGATACCAGTAAACCAATGAAGATTGCTTCACAAAACATCAATCCACGTATAACGATTAAATCGAAATACAAAGTTGATGGTAACATTCTAGTGTTGCCCATTAAGGGTGAGGGTGAGATGACAATGGTGTTGGATAATGTGAAGACCCGGTTTGTGACTACACTGAAAGCGGAAGAGCGTGATGGCAAACATTATTTAATTGTCGATAATATCAAAGTTGATAGTCAAGTCGATAAGTGAGTAAACAAAATAGAAATAAAATTAAAATTAAAATTTTTTTGTTCATTACGAAATCTTATTTTAATTTTTCTTCTTATCAAAAAACAAAAAGGAATTCCTTTCTTTAATTTATTTTATTTTCCCCTCAGTACCTCTTTTCCCCCTTTCTCTCAGCTTTTGCATATTTTTTTCTCATACTTAAGTACTAACGTTCTGTCTCTTTCTCTCTGTCACACAGCGTACACACTGACATGACGAATCTTTTCAACGGCGACAAAGTACTCTCAGAGAGTCTACTGCAAGTGATGAATGATAATTGGCGCGTTCTCAGTGATGAGCTAACACCAAGAATTAACGGTGCTTTAGGGGAAAAGCTGAAAGAGTTGCTGCTTAAATTTTTCAACGATATACCATATGAAGATTACTTTTTGCCAGAATAAAAAAAAGTGTGAGGAAATAGAATTTGAAGAGAATTTAAAATAGAAAAATTAGAAATACAGAAAATTTTAAAATTTGTTTCCGTGTTTTATTTGGAAAATATAATTAAGTGACCAAAAAAATTTCAACATATTAGCTCTTAATTAATCTCCCTCCCTCACTTTATAGGCCCACAAAGATTTCCTGTTGCGTATGTATGTGAGAATGGGAGTGACAATTTAACAAAGAATAACATGATGAATTCCCTACTCTGAAGCATTTATGTCTTGCTCCTTCTCTCTCCCTCTCTCCCAATTTTTTATCATGAAGCCTTCATGTGCCCTTCAGTTCCAGAGAACGCTTGACATACCTCTTAAATTAAGTTCTCAATAAAAAAAAACATGTCAATAAAAAAAACATTTTAACGAAAAATTCCTCTCTTATAGAGATTTCCTGAATATAAAGAGATGTTTCTAAATTATTCTAGACGCAAGACATAAGCACTGCCCTTGAGGGTTTCGAGATGAATGCCATAATAGTAGAATTATTAAACCTGCTACTCTGTGGACGGAACATTAACTGATGTCAAGTTCTCGGAATTTAGTCCTATAATGTTTATTGGAGGCCTCCAGACACTGGGCACTGGGAACGAAATTTGTAGATGTTGTTCCAGCCAAGAGATTGAACTGAAGCAAAAACTTTCCTCAGATATAGCAGGAAGTTTCCATTGTTCTTTATGCCGGCAAGACTTACAGATTATTGTAATGCTATTGAAAATACTAGCCAAGGCACAACTAAGCAGACTTTTTCGCAAGAACATCGATATGATATGAAAGAAGCAGAAATTTGGTAGAGATAAGATCAGAGAAATTGGAAGATATCTCAGAAATTGTATGGGTACTCACAAGTCACCACTGTTTGATGAGAACAATTCGGCATGATCAACAAATCGTCTAAGGATTAAACACATTTTTATAGTCGTTACCACTGCCTTAGAAGCTTCCATAGCTAAGGAAAAGGCAGTAATAAGCAGTTGATCGATAGATCGATACCAACTATGGATGCTGAACTTACAAGAATGATCAGCTTTCTGTCTATATAGTCGGGTAGAAAGCGAATGGGAGTGTTTTTAGATAACAATGACCTATTAGCGTACTGGGAATATTGCTGCTTTGGGCTATAAAGTGTGGAAGAAAATACAAGTTTGTCCATTTTTCATCGCTCTTTGGAATTGGGTATTCCACAAATCTTATTAATCGTATTTTGCAAAAACACCTGGGTATTAAGGCTCATAAAGTTGTTTGCACAAGATTTCAAACCGGCCGATCATTAACAAAGTCGTGTATTTGCTGATTGAGTACTTGAAATACATTTAAAAGGTACGGAATTTCATTAAAAAATCATCGGGACTGATGAAGCAAATTTCTACCTCAATGGCTACGTCAATGAGAAAATCTCTCTAATGTAGTGCTCCGAAAACCCATGATTTATTGTTGAAAAACCTCTTATTCTGTTGTTGTTGTTGTTGTTGTAACCGCAAAATTATTCCCCAAAGTACTTTTTGGAGAATGTTGCGGGAGTGACAGTCCTTGGCCGGTATAAAGACCCGACTGTCGCGGGAACTATTGGATTTTAGTCGCCTCTTACGACAGGCATGCCTTACTGCGGGTAAATTCCTGAACCCCTAACCCGCAGGGGTGGCCTCTCATTCTCAGCTGGTGTGGCGAGATCATCAGACCTTACTTTTCTGAAAATGAATAGATTGCCACTCAAAAACAACGAAATCTTCGATCATTATAACCCCTTAAACCTTGTCATTTTCAAAAAAAAAGGAAGATTTTTTTTTAAATTTTTCAGCTGCATATATATTTCAGAATATTTATCGAAAAGTTGATCCGACAAACTGTTGCGCATCGTATGATCGTATCATTAAGGACTGCTAGTGGCGTACAAAATTAGGCAAAGTTTAAGGCGGAGTATTTTAACTAGCAAAACTCTAAATGCGTTTTTCTCGAAACGCTTTTTCCAGAGACGGTGAGGAAAATTTCCCTGAAACGGCTGAACCGATCGACTAGAAATTTTCTAAGATATATTTGTTAGGTAATGATCGAAAGAATACAATTTTTAACAATCGTTTTTTAAGTCACTTTGAAGTGTAGAAATTCTCCCAAAATCAATCCCGTTTCAAAAATCAAAATTTTCACTATTCCTTCGATCATTAACTGTATTCATTTATTAGTATACTAAATTTTTGGGATTTTCGAGTTTCAGATAATTTGAAGTAGAAATATCTCCCTTACCGCTAGACACCTTTTGCTGGATCGGCTGCAGGAACAAAAGGACTTGGCCACCGCGTTCTTATGATTCGACACCTTGCGACTTCTTCCTTTGGGGATATTTTTTCCATTATTATCTCCCAAAAGTCCAGCGCAGCGAGTGTGTTCCTAACATGAAATAAAGCTACTCACGAAAAAACGTTTAGCCGTTCGGAAGTGGCTTAGTATAAACTCTAGGTCACTCTATTTTGTTGGAAAAACATCAAGACGCAAAAGACCACAAAATGGAGGAAGGAGAGCTCGGCCGAAAATCGGTTCAGCGGTTACAAAGGGTCATATATTTATATATATATTCATTACCTTCCGCTCATTTATCTCAAAACTGGATTTTTTTCTTTGAATATCAAAATAACACCTTCTATTGGAAAACTCTGTATAGTAAATAAATTTACATAATTATATTTTAAGTTGGCATAAAAAAGGACAAAATGTTTACAATGTTTAATAAAAAAATTAAAAAATTTAAAATTAAGCAAAGGTTTGTATTAAGTAAGAAAAGAATAAAAAATGTAAATAAAATTAAAAAAAAGTTAAATAAAAAATTTAGATAATTTATATTAATTTTTATTAAAATAAATAAAAAAAATTAAAACAACGAAATAGAATTGAAAAAAATAAAGTAATTGTATAATAATTTAAATTAAATAAAATAAAAAAAATAAAATAATAAAATAGAATTAAAATTCGAAATGAATAAATAAAATAAAATACTTTAATATTAAATAAAATTCAACAAAATATAAAAGAATAAAATATAAACCAATAAGTAGATAATTCACTGTGTACTCAATGGCATCTGCAGCAGCAACAACATCACTCAAATAGCGACAAAAACAAACAGTACAATGGAGGAACTGTCGTTTATTTTTGATTTTTTATTTAATTTTTATTTTATTTTATTTTTTCCTCTCAATTTCCTTCAACTCCCCCACTCAGGTTTCAACGGAAATAGTAATGGAATGGAAATAAAATAGTCAATAATAATAAAGAAAAAGTAGAATTTACTCAAACCAAATAAAGTAAATGGAGTGCAAAGCATATATGTATTTATATTTTTGTTTTTGTATACACAAAAGTTGTTAAAAAAAAATATAAGCACTTGCGGAGCATGAAAGTAAATATAAATGTAAATAATAAATAAATGTAAAGAATATGTGAATAAAAATAGATTTCAATAAAGTAGCTAAAGACTCGTAGCACTCAATGCAAAGCTTAAAGTTTCGCTGAAATGCTTTGAAGAATTTAAATTAATGTGAAAGAGGAGAAGGTTGATGGGAACATGCTTAAAGCTGCATTAAGCCTATTTCATGGCAACCATTGCAAATGATAAATAAAGATGACGATTTGAGATTCTGATTTTGAAATATTTGGTCCTCTAATAAAGAATAAAAATTGAGGCTGATCACCGCATAGCAAATGAATTGCCATATAAGCGTCAGGGAGGGAATAAGGCAAGTCCATGAGATATTTACTCTAACGTCCATATAAAATATCGCAAATTTGGTGTGGGACACATATCTGGAGAGAGCCTTTGTCGGCTGAAAACACTTAGATTAGGCGGATTATTACTGAATATCGAAGCAAGCTTTTTACATAGAAGAAGTAGAAATATTATTTCTCCGATAACTTCTCATTTAAATGCAATTTTCTTTTAGGTAAAATATCGCAGGACTTTTCAAGCAAAAAAACAGTTTTAAATACTGTTAAAGAGGTTTCTCTAGCACAAGTCGATCCAAAGAGAAGTACTATGCATTTTTTAATATTTTTTTTTTTAATTTATTTTTAAACTTTCCAATCAAATCTAGTAAATTTAACCCCACCAAAAGCAACAAACTATCATACTCTTATACACACAATGAAGTCAACAAAAATGTGTTGGTGTATATATGTTTGTACTGTAATATTCTGCATTGTGGCGCCACCAAATGATTGATGACGGTCAGCTTGGATGAATTGCAAGTGAATTGCAGCAAACACATAGTGAATTTGTTGCAAGAAACTCACATTTTTACTTACCAGTATGTTAGTATGTGAATATGCGTGTGTATGTGAATGTGTGTGCGACTAAATTAAATGCATGCATGCATATATTTTAAATGCGTCGACAAGCACAGCAGCTCGGACATGTTGAAAGAGGGAGTGAGCATGCGCAAGCGTTTTAATAATAAATAAACGCCAACCAACAATCCTCGTTCTCCATGTCTCTGCGACATTTCAAGGCGTCCACTTACTACCCCTCACCAACCATCATCAAAGAAATGCATGCGAAATGAGACAAGTAAATTTGAATTACACAGACAGCATTGTGAGATGAAATGAGTGAAAGGGTTTGGTTCAAGCGTCCATTGGAGGGACTATTAGAAACAAAAAAAGATGGGGAAATACGTCGTATTAAATATAAAAAAAATTAAATTGCTTTAAGAGACTTCAAGAGGGGCGAGCAAAAGAAAGATAAAAAATGAAAGAAGACTTGAAAGATGTCTTAACAGTGTCTGAGCTTGAGTATTGTCACGTTCTGATGATCATGGTTTTGAGGAGATACAACTAAATTGTCTGATCCTTTATTATGTACAATATCTACACATATATATAATTGGCGTTTCGGAACCGCTGAAGTGATTTTCAGCTGAAAAAATGGACCTGCAGTTTACACTAAGCCGCCTTCGTGCTGCTGATGGCTTTTATCATGAGCCTTTATTTCCTGATAAGTGGTGACCGCAGGGGGGTCAGAAATGCCATATTGTCAGAAAGAATATATACAA